CTTTTCTAAAAAGCAACTCAATACCTGACATTTTCCAAGAGTTTTGCAAACTATTTCCTAAATAAAACATATAGATATAAAAACTCCATACACATGTAACTTCTCTTACTTTTCAGAACTGTAAGATCTCAAAGTATTGTGCAAGAGCAATTAGAGTAAGACAGAAGTAACACCAGCAATACGTACAGGGCCTTCAAGCTTAGCCTCCTAAATTGAGAGCATTCAAAATTATTGTTATTCCAGATTTAGCCAGTTTCCTTTTCTCCAAGAAGCATCAAGCCTAAAACATCATCCATCAAAAACAACCTAACTGATCAATTAAAAAGCTATTAGAAAACTGAAGAAACGGCTACAATGTTGTATTCCTTCAAATAACTTTGTAAGCAAGGCCCCACTATATTCCAGATGCAAGCAGTTCCTGCAGAGCACCAGAATATAAATATGAGTGAGCTTTTTAATCGTAAGTGTCTTTGAGTTACCAGCTATTATCCTTTTATTTACCTAATGATCTCACCTACCCACAATGAAGCTAACAAATTCACAGAAGAACTGTCAAGCTGTTTTACATGAGAGAGGAAAAAAAGGGAGCAGTGTGGCTGCATTTTTCAGTTAAATACCCTTAATCACCCACAGCACCTTTGAAGTAGAGAGTATCTAACTTACCAAAAGATTTGATGCATTTCTTTGAGACACCAAAATGAGAATTTGAATAGCTACATTTTACTCCATGTTGTAACGGAAGAGGAGAAAGAAGCACATAACTTAAAAAATAAAGAACAAGCAACCTCCCCGCAAAAAAACTGTTACCTAATTTCAAAACTATTTTTGTAACAAAAAACTCCTTGACCTTTTCTCAAGAGAACAAGGACTGTTTTCATCACTACTGTTTTAGGGTATTTTTTCAAACAGATTTAATTTTTCATCAAAGCATAGGCAATATCAATAAAAGAAAAAGGAGGGAGCAGCAAGGAAGAAAAAGTTGGAAGGAAATCTTCAGCTTCTCACTAATGTAGTTTTCTGCCATGTTCAAGCTATCTTTGGACAGACAAAAGTAGGTCGGAAGTTTCTTTCTTCCTCCATCCCCTCTACCTTTAAAAGGGCAAAGGACCATTACGAATACAAACGGTCTGACACTCAAAAAAAACCAAGTCAACTGTCCCCCTTGTGAATTTAAGGTCTGTGTAACAAATTACATTCCATGTTGTTTTGTACCCACAGCTGAGATGTACAAACAAAAGTTCTCCTACTCTGTTTCTATATAAAGACAACTTGATCAGCTTCAGTTATCAGTCTACATTCGATTAAGTCTGCATTCCCCAAAAGTAGCAGTAAGTGCACTGAAGTCACAAATTAAAGTCTTTTGGCATTAATTCCACTCTTTGATCATGCAATAGCCAAAAGTCAGGAAAACTAAACAGAGAGAAAAAAAACTACGGATGATGCTTTGTACTGCTGCAACAGAACAGCAGCACCAGGTCTGCCCAACAGCTACAGGAATGACCCTTGGAAGGGTCCCTTGAAGCCTAAAGTTTTCAAACCAGTTCAACACACAGCAGATACAGCATTAAAATCTTCAGTACAAACAGTTCTGACTTTATTATCTGAACATAGATCTTTAAAAGGAAAGCTCTAGCAACTGTTATTTTAGGGGTGACTGCCAATGCTGCCTCATATGCCTGCAGCTTTAGCCTAGGGTTTCATACCAAGTGAGCTATTTAAGCATGCTACATAAGCAACCTTTCCCCTCCTCCCACAGCATTTGTTCCTATTCTTTAGATACCTTTTTCATCGTGTGGACACACATGCTTTTGCAGCCCTATGATAACCCAGATTAGGGGATTTTTCAGGCTACAAAAACCTTTTTTTTTTGTTATAAAGGTTAAAATTTTAAGTACAAAACTAGGGATTCTTGAAGTACAAATAAACCCATTCCTTCTGAGCACTACTCTAGGCCCACATAGAGGATTCAATCCACAAGCAAATGCTTCATTTATTTTAAATTACACATTATTCTAAATTATATAGTGTTGTTGAAAAGATTCAGCAGTACATGTACAAACTAGACTACCCCTGAAACGATGAATAAATAGGATGTTATCAGAAGACAGAACTTGTGCTCTACCTTTTCCACTTAGACCGGACAAGCTGCAGCAGAGGTTCAGGTGCATAATTTCTAGAATACTACAGTATGTGGCAAGCTACTGAAAGTCAATGCGGTGGAAATCAAAAGAATAACCTGGCTCCTGATAGACTCAGATTATGCAGACAGCACACAAGTGCGAAGAAACAAATAGTCATCCTCCCTTTCTCTCACGATATGCTATGTGAAGACACACAGGAAATACATTTTTTGTAGTGCTGCAGTTTGAAGTTTAAAATCAAATCACTTAGGATCTCAGCTTGAACAACCTGAATGCTCTACCATAACCAAGTACAGAAACCGTTTATATTTTCTAGACTGCAAAACTAAAAGGGATCTCTAGTAGGTTTCTGCTAATGGCTCTTAGAAACCATGCTGAGAACCCATCAAATCACTTACCTGGAACAATGCTAGGCTGTACAGAACTTTATCCCGACCCCCTGACACATGAATTTCATTTATGAAAGCTCCTCAATATAAGTTAATTCCTATATTTTCTCGGTTATTTTTCCTTCAGCCTCCCCCCATACCAGCTTACTGGAAACAAAACCGTTTACTTAGGTACATAGCACTGTAACCGGAAAGCTGCTCTTCCAGACAGCAACTAGAGCTTTTTTTTTTTCTGTATGTGGCAAGGATTCCTTTATTTACTACTTCTCTATGTAAATTTTCAAACAAATGTAACTTTTGGCTTATACACTGCTGGACACTTCAGGGCTAACTTAGTTTTATCTTCACTGTTCCC